AAAAAAAATAGATTTTTAAAATTGTTGACTGTGTAATTGTGTATGCATATATATATATATATATATATGTGCATGTGTATGTATGTGTGTGCATGTTTATGTATGTCCGCGTATATGTACGCATGTGTGTATGTGTATGTATGTCTGTATATGCATGTATAGGTATGTAGGTATGTGTATGCATATATGTATGTATACGTAAATATATATGTATATATGTATGTGCGTATGTTATGTATATCTGTGTATATGTATATATGTGTATGTATATATTTATATATGTGTGTATGTATGTATGCATGTGTATGTTTCTAGATCTGTATGTGTATACACATATGTATATATATATATATATATATATATATGTTATATCTGGCCAAATATGCATTTACTAGTAAGCTAACTATTCTTTACATTTGGCCAACATTAGTTGAAGCGTTGAAAAATGCCAGTAATCAATAATGCCAAGAGTGAAAGCCTAAGAGTATAAATGAAGTAAAGAGCCTTAAGAGTGGACGATAAGGTTGTAGTTAGAGTAGAGTGTTCAATTTTATTCTCAGGATACTAAATAAAGACCTGTATGTGTATGTGTATGTGTATATGTGTATGTATGTATGTATGTATGTCTGTGTCTGTGATTGTGTCTGTCTGTGTATGTGTTGTATATATGTTATATATGGTGTAACTAAAAAATCATACTTTAAAGCATCTAAATCATGATGACAACTAGACATTTTCATAAAGGATAGAGGAAAGAAGACAAGGGATAACAGAATGGTGTTAATATAGCACAGATTATGGCCAAGGATTAGAGCCAAGAAATATTAGACATAAATACAATCATATATAGAAGCATAGATGTCCACTACACTATATAGTATTCCTCCTTTTGCTGGGATTTTTATATGGATGAAGGAACAAGGCTGAGTTTCCACCATACATCATGCACAACTATTAGCTTATTGAAGTATGTTGCAGCTTATACATATGTGTGTATCTGTCTGTCTCTGTCTGTGTGTATGTGTGTGTGTGTGTTTGTGTATCTGTGCACCACTATCTTACGTTATAATAAACATCAGTGGGATATATGTGTATATGTATGGATTCATCATCGATATATTCGGTCGTTTATGGTTCTTCTTTTTGATCTTTGATATCAATAATCATCGATTTATCCATCAGTTTTCCGTGATTAGTAGTTAGGAATGGTTAAGGTTATTGAAATAACAGTTAATTTTATAATTTAATTCGAAATATTCACCTATGTTTTCATATCTTATTATTACTAATTACTATTATTTATTATTATTATTATTATTATTATT